CTTACTTGTATTACATTTGACAATGCTTCTCGTCCTGGAGCAGTATCGAACATGACTTTAAATGAATTTAAAAAATCAATAGAAAAGAAAGATGGTTTTATTGTCAGTGTAATGAAACACAAGACAAGTTTTAAAGGACCAGCTAATATTGTTTTCAGCCATTCGTAATATTTTAAAGTAAAAAAGTATATTAAATTTATGCGAAATATACTGGATGGGGTTTCAAAAAAAGATGATTCCTATGTATTTTTAAGTTGGAGTGGAAGTCCTATTTCTTCATCAATGCTTAGTAAGCAATTTTCATCTTTTTGGCAAAAAGGTACTGGTAAATCGTGTCTAAACCCAACAATTGTTAGAAAATACACCACAACTTTAGTACATGATAAGTATCTTGAGCTTAAGCAAAATACAGCTCATTTGCTATGCCATAATGTTACCACAGCCGAAAAATCATATGCCATAGCTGAGAAAAGGAACAAAGTCGCAGAAACTAGTAAGCAAATTCGAGAGGTCCAGAGAGAAACATATGCTGACAATCAAGCACCTTCCTTGAATTTGATATTTTAATCTGAAATTTTAAGGGGCAGTATAACATTGCCTGAAGTCCATGATAAATTTTATGATTACTCTCTTGGTGATATATCGGATATTAAAAAGGTGAAAAAAATAGATGATGTGCGCTATTTAATTAAAAAAAACAAATCATCTGATGATGATTCGGATTTTAATCCTAAGAACTGTTCAGATTTTGAAAATAATAAGCTTACAATTGATAACCTTTCATCCAACAAACACAGTGATATTGTCCCATCTTCACCTACTACGTCATTGCAATCTATAACAAGAAATCAAAAAGAGTATAGCCAGGAAGATTTAACTTTAGTTAATAAGCATTTAAAGTAGATTTCAAACAGATAACATGGTTGTTTATAAGGGCTTTTTTGCAGTTCCAACCACCATGTTAAGTTGTCTAAAAGCTAACAAAGCTTGGGAAATCAACTTCCAAGAATTTCTTGATATATATAGTTCTGATCTTCCACATCCTACGCCCATTTAAGCAGAATTAGATTTATGGGAGACTTTTTGGAAAAATCAATCCAATCCCCCGTCTAGTATTTCTGAAACCTTAAAAGTTATGGATATGATTGGCTTCCCTAACATTTGTGAAGTATTTCTCATTCTAGGTACAATACCTATAACAACATGTGAGTGTGAAAGGTCTATATCAGTTATATAGAGATTAAAAATTTATTTAAGGTGCAGAATGTTAGAAAAACAATTGAATGGTCTTGCTTTAATGTCAGTTCATACAGATATTATTCCAGATATAGACAGGGTTATTGACATATTTTCAGCTTCTGGAGAGAGACGTTTAGAGTTACCTTTTGAGCCTTAAGTTGTCTATGATTGAAAATATAATACTTATTAGATCTTTTATTTAATAGGCAACAATAATAATACTGTTACATTAAAGCCTATCAAGTAAAAGAAAGAATCCAGATATGGAGGGCTATCTTTAGACAACTTTACAACTTACACATGGGGTGCTAAGTCCTATGGCCTACCTTGTAGTTGGTGCACCTCATTAAGTAAGTTAGACATTTTGTGTCTAACTTATGAACAAGAATAGCCAAGGCAAATTTTGTATGAGTTTTTGTAATGTTAGCATTAGTGTTTTTTAATGTTTTCAATAGAAAACATAAATAAGTGAAAACTAGGTGTTGGCTACGGCAACTGATCAACACTTTAATTTATAATTTAAAGACCGTACCCTACGTTAAAAAAAAACAATGTCTAAAGTTGTCTCTATGATTTAACTACCGGGCATCTTTTTTATGAAGATTAGCGGACTTATTAAATAGATGCGAATATGATGCTATTATTTTAGTTTGTATGACATGACAAATTTTAGCTACACCTATAAAAATCCTAGATACGCCCCTGATATATATATATATATATATATATATATATATATATATATATATATATATATATATATATATATATATATATATATATATATATATATACCTATAAAAAATCCTAGATCCGCCCCTGATATATATATATATATATATATATATATATATATATATATATATATATATATATATATATATATGATGCTATAATTTTAGTTTGTATGACATGACAATTTTATATATATATATGGGTAGCAGTAACAGTATCGAAAACAGCCAAACTGATTAATCTCGAAAACGAAATTTCCAGAATAACATCGAAATAGAGAATAACATCGAAATTGTAAAAAAAAGGAATTGTATTGAAAATCCGAAAAATAGAATAACCTCGAATAATTGTGAAAAAAGGAATAATATCGAAAAGGGACTTTTTGGAATAATATCGAAAAAGAAAACATTTCAAATTTGTTAAAAAAGGATTAGTATCGAAAATCCTAAAAGCAGAATAATTTTGAAACAGCTCAAAAGAGAATAATATTGAAAAAGGATTTATTGGAACAATATCGAAAGTGTGAATAAAGGAATAGTATCGAAATTTCAAAAAACGGAATTAGATCGAAATTGTAAAAAAAGGAACAATATCGAAACGGGCCTTTCCGGAATTATATCGAAACTGTGAAAAAAGGAATAAAATCGAAAAAGGACTTTCCAGAATAATATCGAAAAGATGAATTTTAATAATAGGTTTAAAAATTCCAAAAGCAGAATAATTAGACGGCAGTTTTTTGCGGTTTTTAATTAAAGTGTAGAATTACACTGTATAATTGTATAATGTAAACAAAAAGCTCTATTAGTAGAACAAAATATATTAAATGTTGTGTTGTTGGCTATTTACAAAACGATTCAAAACAAAATGTATTAATTTTATTTACAGTAGACACTTTACACGATTTTACTATTACAATTATCTCTTGTTATAATTAATACCATTATATGCGGATAATGAAGAAGCTTTCAGAATGTGTTCATTTTTTAAATTTGGATAACTGGTTCCCAAGTTATGACAATCTATGTTGGGGTCAATAATGCCTATTTCGCGTCAAGATTTGTTGAGTTTTTCTTAAGGAATTATGGTACTAAATTTTGATAATAAATTTATTTTTCATATGCTATTAAGAAGGAATTTCATTGAAGTACTTATGCTGAATTATTTTTATTGTTTTCTTTTTTACTAAAGCATTCAATTCTACAAATTATCATTCTCATATTAGGGGCCCCTAGGTAAGAATTCCACTCCTCGTTTACCCATTTGGGGCAATTGGATCAAAAGCTATAAAAGCTTCGTTTAAACCGTAAAATTTAACTTTAGATAAAGAAATAGAGTTTTTTCAAATGGTAAGGGTAAACAAATTCATTAACATTAATAAATAACAAGAAAATAGGTAAAAATATTAGGTCTAATTTCTTCTACAGAACTTTGATTGTTCTTGGCCCAATCGCCCATTCAGGACAATAAGATAAAAATGTAAAAATACTCAAAGCCCGTTTTCTCATTTTGGGGCAAATTGGGCCAAGAGTAAAAAAAAAACTCAGTTAAAACTACAAAAATTAACTCAAGTTAAAGAAAAAGACCTTTTTCAAACTGTAAGAGTAAAGATTCATTTACATTTATAAATATCAAAAATGTATGTAAAAATCTAAGAAAAAACATTTTTCTCATTTAGGGCCGGGAGCCATAACGTTAAACTTATAACAATGAGCAAAAAAAAAAAATTCTGAAAATTTTTCAGTAATAGCTCAAACTCTAAATAAGTAAAATTTGAACTCTTTTTTATGAAGTGCACCACCAATTTTATGAAATATCATGCAAATAGTTTTGTTGTTAACATGGAAACGTGAACGAAGAGTAACATTATACCCAAACTTTATCATATTTTAATTTTACGTGTTGCAACGCGTTAAAGTGAAGTATGATAAAATTCACAAATCCATGTTAATGACAAAACTATGAACATAATATTTCACAAAAATGGTGGTGCACTTCATAAAATACAGTTCAAACTTCACTTATTTTCAAGCTTCTTTATACGCTTAAATTGTAAATCAAATCCAAGTAACGCAGTTATAAATAATGTTATTTATCATTTGCAACAACAATGTTGTTTTTATCATAGATAACGTGTTGTATCTTAGAAATATTAGTGACATCTTTTGGATTTAATAAAAAAGATCGCCTTTGATTAAATGCTTGAAAACATTTGCCCTTTAGTGATTTTTTAACAAAATGATTTTAGGCCCACTGCACAGTGGGCCAGAAACATGAAAAAGTGATCAAAATTAATAACTACATATAAAATCAATTTAACAATATTAACATTAGAAAATCAATTTAACAATAATTATATTTACTAAAATATAATATTACAACCATTTAAATTTTCTTCAGGTTACTCACTTTCAAAAAAGTTTAAAAATTTTTGAATTGTTAAAAGTTGGTTTTGCTCATTTTTTTTAATTTTTGCTCACTGCTGGCCTACTGTGCACTGCCTTGAATGTTATCTAAATATTTTATGTAAGCAAAACATAAAATTCCAAAAAGAACTATTAAACACTTACTTTATAAAATAAAAAAATTGTCCTTACTACAAATTCTGATAGAGGGGGAGGGAAAATGCCACCTTGACCCCTCCCCCCATGACGCAGCCAATGTAGATATACCCCCATGCCGTAGCCCATGTTCAATTATACTTGTTAATATATTATTCGCAAATTATATTCATAAAAAATTTTGTAAGGCGTTTTAGGAAACTCGACTAACTTGAAGAATTATTAGTATATATATATTAGTGAATAAAATATATGAAGTTTATGTAAGCAAAACATAAAATTCCAAAAAGAACTATTAAACATTAACTTTATAAAAAAAAAAATTATCAAAACATATTAGTGAATAAAATATATAAAGATTAGTAAATTTACTAATCTTCTAACAATTTATTTTATGTATAGAAGGTTATTGATTGTACTTTTTATAAAAAGTACAATTAATAACCTTCTATAAATATACAAGCCCATATCGTAAAGATTTTTAGGTTAGGTTGGTCGTTTCGGAGAAAATTGTAGTCAAGAATAGAAAATCTTAATTAATTTTTATAACGTGAAACTAAAAATATTTGGTCAAAAAAAAGATGTCAATTGCTCACGATTATCTCCTCTCTTTCCCCACCCCTACCAACAGTAAGGACGTGATAAATTTAACAGAAACTAGCTTTTAATAGAAAATTTATATCAATAGCAACTCTTTAAACAAAATGCATATTTATTATAAAGCAAATTAAGGATGAAAAATCCTTTTTTATAGCTGTTTTGTGCTGGTCTGTAAAATCTGGGTCTGTGTTTTATATAATCTATAAGGTGTTAAAAAGGAAATATTTTTAGCATATGGTTTTCACATACTTTTTGACGAGCTTATTCCAATTATATAGTTTTTTGTTAAATTTCTATATATTTTTTTGCTGACTGTAACAAGTTATGATTCCGGCCCAAAATGTTTTAGCACTTGTTTTCTTCTTAGTTTTAACCAAGTTAAACAAGTTAAAAGCTAACTAGACAAGTTAAAACCTAGTTAAAAAAAGTTAAAAGCAAAAAGTTGCTTCTGACACGCTTGTGCACACGAAAGTGCTAATCGTAACATAGTAACCCTCGCGATATGTCTTTTGTTGATACTGTCACTTGCTTCAAAGAAACTTATTTAATTTTGCTAGACAAGCAGCTGTAGAATTTTATGCTACATTTATCTATACAATAACTTTAACATGTAAATGACTATTGTTTCTAGGGAGATGGAATTTATTTAGTACTTATCCTTAACATAATATGGGGTTTGCTCAACTGAAACCAATACAATACGCCAACTTACGGAAAATCTTGTAGGCCCAAATGGAATTTAAAGTCATTTATGTAAACTAAAAAATGACGTTATTGATTATTTTTTATTCCAGGCGGAGCAATAGGAAAAAAATTATACTGCTTTTATATAATAAATTTTTTTAAATAAATTTAAACAATTGTGTGACATTCTAGTTTTTTAAATATAGGTAAAAGGGAAAATTTTACTGAATCATTGAAAAGGTTCAATTATAGATGAAATTGGTCCTCAGCAAGTGGGACAATGAGCTGTGTTGCTTTTTTGGACTTATTGAATGCAGGGCAGACAAAACAAAAAATGTCTGCAAGGCATTACTAATGCATTTCGTTCATTGACGGTACAAACAACGCACTTCGGTGACTCTGTTGAAGTAGAAGTTGGCAAAAGAAGACTATCACCAACCACGTTCATTGAGTTTCCATCCAAAGCACTAAAAATATTTAAAAACTTCAAATACAATTTTCTATATTTCATGGAAAATAACAGATTATCAAATAAAGTTAAACTAATTAGTTTGGTAAAAAAATTGATAAAGGTTAATAAATAAGAAGTGTTATACAAAAACATGGAAAATTATCTTACACTACTTTGAAGTTTTGAAAGAGATATGATACTGTTGATAGGAATCTCTCAGTTGTCCAAACTTCGTCTTGAAGTTTTTTCTCAAAACAACGCATTTTTTCAATTGCAACATAGTCGCGTTGGTCACGGCGGACTGGCTGATTGCAGGCAAGCTGTTGAAGCTCTTGAATTGTATGGACTATTACATGCTGGTTAAGCAATTTCATAAACTGCCAAAATCCTCTATGTCGATCACCCATGTTTGATTTCAAACGTCTATTGAGACTCTCTGCATTGTTATTGGTTTTGTGGTTCAAGCCATAAACACTGAATCCTTCTGGGGTCACTATATTGAGCCAATAACTCTCAAAATACCTTTTAAAAGCAAGTAGTTTGATTTTGATTTCGCGACTAAATTGTGCAATCTCAATAACTCGAGATCCCCAAGCAACCAAGATCTTGTTTGCAGGAAGGAGACAAAGTGCTGAAACTTTTTGTGCCCACTTCTTTACTTGAATTTGGTGGTGGTATTCCCTCTGAAGACCAAGAATTGCTAATTGCTTGGTGATTGCATTTTCTAAATGAAACCTAAAGATAAGGGTTTCAAGGAGATCAATAATTGATAACAAACTCTGAAAAACTTGGATAACTTAGAAACTAGAAATAAAAAAGTAATAACAAAGTAATAACTTATACCTGCAACCATTAACCAAGCTTTCACTCCAAGTTGTTTTTAAAGCATACTGTAATCCTCGTTCAAAATCTGACATAATGGTGACTGGAGAGAAATCTAAAACTTCTTTTATTTTGGAAAAAACAACCTTGTATAGAGCCTCGGATTTCGATGTCATGAAAGTGCATACAACTGGAACAGATATTCCCCAAAGGTTAGGGTTATCAGGATCAAAATTCATCTGATCCTCATCTGGAATTGGATCTTCAAGTACTGCTGAATACTCAACAGAAAATATCAAGAGCTGATACCACTTACTTTCCTCCATGCGTGGTGTCATGCTGGAAGTACAATAAATGTAACTATAATTTACAACTGTAAATAAAAGTGTTCTACCTAACGTTTTTAATATATCACTTTTTTCGTCTACAGGCTGTCGATTAATAACGTTAAAAAAATAAGGAAGGTGTCTAAATTTTTTTGAAAATTTTTGCTAAGGGTGAGGGGAGGAGGTCAAGTAAAGTTGACATCAACAATGCTGCTTTATTTTTTTAATTTCGCTACTCAAAAAAAGAAAAATTTGCCTACGTTTTTAGCGCAGCGTCTTTATTTAGGGGAGAATGGTTATCAAAAATTGACGTCACTTTATAGGGGAAAGAAGTGTCTCTGGAAATTTAACAAATTGTTGACATGGGGGAGGGGGTAATGTAAAAATAGCTAAAAGTTTGTTGATGTAATTAATGGACAGCCCCCTAGATAAATATATGTTCTTCTAGAACATATATTTTTTTGAAAAAGTTAAATGCATACGTATAAATACCTAAATGTTCCATCAACAAAACACACTTTGGCCAATTTCGCGTTGTTGATGACTAGCATATGCCCAAACAGCAATGCTATGTTATCCTGTTCTGCAACTGATCCCAAGAAAATGTCTCCATAGCGATGGCACTCTTTGTTGTTCAGAACTTCATTAGGTGATTTTGGGTTTGATGGCTCATTTAGCATTCTCCTTTTCTGAAGACTTGGGATACTTTGACAAACTAACAGACTCAGAAACAACTGCAGGAAACTCACTCAAAGTGTTTTGAAAAATTAAGCGCAGGTCTTCAGATGTTGCTTCTGCTTTTTTTTTCATGGTACTTTTAGCAAGCAGCACTTCAAAGTCTGTTTCTCTTGAACTGCAACTGTGAACAGTTGTAACCTGAAGTTTATCTTCATGAATAAAAGCTCTGCCTTTGCAGTTCATTCTTGTAAAAAAACGACACTTAAGATGCAGTTTGTCTTTGTAAAGTTTATCTTTAGTGTATCCAAAATCACTAGACCAAAACACATTTGAATTTTTTCTTTCTACTTCAGTTTCATTATAATTTTTTGATAAGTTCTCTAACGACATTTTAGAATAATTTCGATATAAAAACATTTCAATATAATTCTGAAAATCACATTTTCGATCTTAATCATTAAAATGAGTTTCGGTCAGTTATTTTTCAATACTAATCATTTTTTCGATCAGTTAATTTTCGATACTATTCCGCTTCCCCATATATATATGTATACATATATGTAAGATAATTAATAGGTTCCCTAGTTATTGGTCGTGATAAGTCCAACAACTTCTTCCCATAAAAAAGTTGGATAGGGGGCAAGTGACCCTTGATCTCCCTCTCTCTCTGGTGTCCCTTTTAACCAAATTAAGATTGATGTCAAAGAATGAATAAAGGTAAATTTTATGCTCTACTTAAACCAGCCAGGCGGCTTTCATACGAAAGCTCACTGCAATCGCCTTACAAAAACTTTTTTTTCAAGATTTGATTGTTTAACATCTAGGCATAAATCCTTTCATCTGAGAGTTTTTTTCAAACTTCCTTATCCATGTGCATCAGTGTTGCCTAAATTTATTATAAACTTAATGTTAAATTTAAGGCCGCAAAGATTGATAAAAATTCTCTCAGACTCCGTGCTTGAAGAAGTCACACAATAAATGTAATGTTTTTTTTACGTTGAATACATTTTTCTTATTATCTAGATTATCTGGAAAACATCATTTGAGTTAGATGTGCTCTTTATAAATTTTATTAGACTTGACTTGATTAGGCTATAACTTGAGTTTACTAAAATTAAATTTGGTTACTGTCGAATACGTTATTTTTTTTACTGTTGCTCACAATAAATATGTTATAAGAACAATTCATTTCAAGACCTTCGTTTTTATAACCAGGGCCGCCAAGAGATGTAACACGGCCCAGGACAGGACACGGACACGGCCCCTGATTAATACTCTTATTCATCAAAATTTTTCAATATTATCAGTAAAGTACTTGTTTTAATTTTATTTTTGAGTACCTTTTTTTTATTTGGCACTATCTTGGACATCTGCTGCCCTGGAAAAACTGTCCCTTTTGCCCCCTTCTCATGGCAATCCTGTGTATAATCAACTACATTGCAAATAAAATTGAAAATTATAATAAGTGGATTCTTTTATCTTAGGAGATAAAAGAATCCACTTATTATATTTTTTTCCTTTTGTTTTTATAATTTATTAATTTCCATAACTTGTTTAGCTGTTCAGCAATCAGCTTTATAAAAGGAGTTAAACAATTTGGTGATGCACATTACAGGTTGCGATTTCAGGCATTTATATAATGTTGTTAAAGTATTAAACCAAAAAACTATAGTTTCAAAACATAGCAACCTAGGGATTCTCTCTTATTTTGCTTATTTTTATGTGAACAAAATTTATGTACAATCCTAATATTTGTGATAATTCAACACTTTTATTTTAGAGAGGGCGGGTTACTTTGTTTTGCATTATCCCCTCCTCCCCCTACCCACTGTTTTATTGAATGTTATTATTATATGTAGTTCAATTGCTTTTAAAATTTCACTTATTGAAAATCCACACAAAAGAAATGTTTCATTTGATTAAAGTTTAAATCAAAAAATCTTTAGTATTTAAATGTATGAAAGTACCGTAGCCCTCATGCTACGCAAAAAAAAATATTGGAAAGTTAATTTAAACACCTTAGCTATTACATATAATTAAAAACTTTTATGTATTTTTTGTGCAAATAATGTCAAGATAAAAACTTCATAAAAGGACCTTACTTACTTTTGGTTACATAGTTGTACAAAATAGGCTATTTTGCATTGAAAAAACTCAGAACTCAAAATTAAGTTCACCACAACTTTGAATAAGTTTCCGTGAACTTTTTGGAAGATGAAAAAATCTAATTGTCAGTTGATGAAAAAATCAATTGTCAGCAAATGAAATACTTGACAAAAAATTGTAGAATTTTGTGATATGTGTGAGGAAGTTGTTCCTTTTCAAGAAAAAAAAAAACATTTAATAACATATTATGAAAATTCATTAAAAATCCGAAAAGCCCTTATGTTACGCATTGCTACAACTACTGTCATTTTGTGTGATAATTTTCTATCGTAACCAAAAAAAATTTGATTTTTTTGTTTATATTATAAAATTATAAGATAGATTTTGTCAAAAACATTTAAAAAAATTAGACTTTTCAAAATTTGTCTATCCCACTTTTACGCTTGACTGTTTAGTAACATAAGGGCTCGCGAGCAGAGTTGTAGTAGTAGTAGTAGTAGTAGTAGTAGTAGTAGTAGTAGTAGTAGTAGTAGCAGCAGCAGTAACAGTAGTCGTGATATCCCCCATGCTACCTTTCAATGATCCCTGGCGCTACGCTTTGAACCCTCATGTTACATTTTGCCCCTCATGTTACCTTTTCTTTTTATTTGTCCCTCATGTTACAGAAACTCTGTAACATGAAGGACAATGCTCTCTAATGTTGCAGAACGTGCGTAGCATGAGGGATCATTGTACCCTTATGTTACTTTTGTTAGTGTAGCATTGGGGGCATTTAAATAATACTTTGTGTTTGATTAATTAGGCAAACTCAGTTGCAATTTGATAACTATATAATTCTTTATTGGACTTTGCAGTTTTTGTCATTATATACTGCTTTATATACCAATATACTGCACTATATACCAATACTTTACTGCATTATATACCATACTTTACTGCATTATATACCAATATACTGCTTTTTTAATACATTTTTTTATTTTGTCGTTTGTTAAGAATTAAAAAGAAGATATTACAGTAATAGTAAATCCTGGCCGGAGCAAAAGAAAGACAAACTTGACTTATAACCGACCCCCGTTACATAAAAATTTACATAACTAATAAGTGATACGTAAAACAGTATAAAATACATTTAAATACATTTAAAACTTCAGCAAAAAAATAAATTATTGCTCAAAATCTTCAAACACGCTGGAAAATTGTGAGCAAGATTGTGATTTTTTTAATTATTCCGCTGCAGTGGAATAATTAAAAAAATAAAAGAAGACAAAAGTGACAATCATGAAACTTATAAAATACAAAAAGTTTTATTAAAAACAATGCGATATAAATAAGTATTTATTGCTGATTACAAAAACATTTAACAAAAAAAGAAAACAGTAACAAAAGCTAAAAAAAAATTAATAATTTTAAATGATTTATTTATTTCAAAACATTTTAAATTGTTTTCAAAAAAAATTATTTGAAATCTTGTATATCGAAGTCCATGTTTAGTAAATGCTATTATGAATCAGTCTTAAAACTCTTTGAAGTGCAGTTTAAAATAAAGTCTTGTTTTTCATTAGAAATATAATTGAAATTGTTTCAAACAAAAGGTCCCTGATATTGAATTTGGTACTAGCTTAATTTAAGATTTATTTGAATGAGAAAATTTTTCACTGAAAATTTAGTAGGATATTTATGAGATATTTCATTAAAGTAAAATTGAAATGGTAGTGGAGATAACCCACATTTTTCCATAGTACATAAATATTATGACATAACATTACTTAATTTTAATGTTAACTAATTTTTAATTTGTTGCGCTTAACCATCCCTACATAAACAATGTATATATAAACAAATATGTTATTTGTTTATATATATTGTTTAGAAAATGTAAAAAATCCACTTATATAATGTTTTATTCAGGATCGTATGTAATATAAATAAACTTTTCTAATAATGACAAGTCTTTTTTGCTCAAGCTGTTTTGTTTTGATTTTTTGTAGTTATGTTATTATATTTAAAAATATTGACAAGATTGAAAAAACACGAAACATATTGCAACAACAATTTAGAGAAAAATTTGAAACTTCAACTTTAGATTTGCCCCTTTCTCGATAATTTCTGATTGCTAAAATTACATCATCTGCTTCTTAGACCTTTAAAAATGATAGTCATAGAAATAAGATTTTCTTTCAATTTTTTAAAAAATCTCTTTCTATTAAAGATACACGGAATATATTTTTATGGGATATATTCTAATAACGACAAAAACTATTTATTTATTACTATTGCAATAAATACTCTTATCCATGAAAATGATATATCTGTACCAGTTTTATATATTTTTATGCTTTTGTATGCAACATAATTAAAATTAATCAAAAAATGTAAGATAAATGCAAAAAAAAACTTGACACATAAAGGTTTATTTTGCGACAAACTAATGTCAATGCGCAAAATCTTTTTGACTTCATAATCATAAGAATGAATATTTTTTTATGACTATGTTTTAGTGCTCTGAGATCTTCTTAGTTCCATTTGAATAGCGTCATGTACAAACGTTTGTAAGTGTAAACGTTTTTAGCATATGTTGAGTTTGCAGGCATTATATGGAATAATTGCGTATATTTATATATCCATAAAATGAGAAAACTTTAAAATTTTATTTTGAATTTTTTACTAGCTGAGATCGGACCCATAAAAATACAGGTCTTTGTAAGTCTATTCCAAACCAAATTTTTCTATACTTTTTCCCTATACATCCTAGCTTTCCCGATCTGTTAAATATGGGTCTTAACCAAGCCTACCATTTCTATCCATATCTATTCTGCACTGATTATTTATATACCTATTCCTTATTTAATTCAATATTTTTTAATAAAACAATTTATTCTGAAAAAAAACATTCAAAAGTAAAAAACTTAACATATGCACCTTTTCCGCATATGTTGAGCTTATAAAAGACTTATAATTAGGTTTATTTTTCTACTAAATGCATTTCATTTGATAGCTCAGTAGTTAAGTGTGCTGTGATAAGTTTTGTTATGAGGGGTTAAAGACTTTCCCTCAGCGCAATAAACTTTGAAATTTTTTTAATAATGCTTATATAACAAAAAAATAATAATGTAGCATAAAAGATTTCTAAAATTTAAAATAAAATTTTAAAGTTTTTTTAATTTATAGATATATTATACGATTATCTCTATATAATGCATGCAAACTCAACATATGCTAAAGACGTTTACGCTTACAAACATTTGTACGTAACGCTATACAAATGGAACTAAGAAGACCTTAGACCACTAAAATATAGTCATAAAAAAAGTGCATTGTAACAATTATTATTAAAAACTAAATAATAATATAGCCTTAGCTATCAAACGCTAATCAAAAAGTTAAGCTAAAAATATTTTGCGCATTGACGTCGGTTTGTGACAAAATAAACCTTAATGCATCTAATTTTCTTTTGCATCTTACATTTTTTGAGTAATTTTAATTGCTGCATACAATTGCATAAAAATATATAAAACCGGTACAGATATATCATTTTACGGATAAGAGATTGTATTTATTACAATAGTAATAAATAAATAGTTTTTGTCTTTATTAGAATATATTCCATAAAAATGTATTCCATCTATCTTTAATAGAAGGAGTTTCTTTAAAAAATTTAAATCTAATTTTTTCTTGTTTGTTTTTCTAGGTTTTTACTATATGCAAATAAATTGTGGCTTCTACTATTTATGAATAAGCCTCGTCTATCATTATTCCAAAAACACTGAGTAAAAGCAATTGCTTTTTTTTTATTCACCTGGCCTCTTAGCTTCAGGCTCAATGAACAACAAAGTTTTCAACAACAGTAAAATCAATAAAAACATTAGCAAATAGTAAAAAAAAAAAAAAACACAAAAAGAAACTTTAATTATTATTCTTTTTAATATAATAAAACTGTTCTTCTTTTTTATAAATAATAAAAATTTAGATTGTTAGATGGTGATATTTTTTTGAAGTTCTATAAGATATATATTAATCTAGTATTCCATACATTTTAAAAATGTTATGTCCTGTATAAAGATGTATCTTTGCAGACTTTTATCCAATTGTTTTAGAAAAAAGGAAAAAAAAAATTAAAAAAATGATAGCTTAACCCAAACCCTTATTTAATATAGCAGCACTTCCTTGCATGTTCCACTTAGTTAATGTATATATATATATATATATATATATATATATATATATATATATATATATATACACACACACACACACACATACACACACACACACACACACACACACACACACACAGTATAAATGAACAAAATTTTCAATTTTGTTTATTTGAGTTTTAACCCTATGATTTCTGTGTTCCACTTAACATAAATTGTAACTCCCATAAGATATTAAAAATCTAAAATATTCAATAAAACTTAAAATTAAAACTTATATCAATTATAATTTATAGATTTTTTTAAACTAAAACTTAGAGAAAAATGATAAATATCAAAATAAAATGAGAAAAAAAAACCTTTTTAACCAGAGTAAGGCATCAGTTGCAGAATTTCGTGCATTATGTTCGTTGCTATTAATTTCTTGGAAAACAATGTTCTGCAAATACTCAAATGCTGCAGTATCAGTATAATATTTTGCGTCTATTTTCTAAAAAAACAATAAACCATTAAATATAATCTAAAAATTTTTAAACTCAATTGTGTAGGTAAATAATTTCAATTTAAACAGTTATAGAATTATGTATAAATATATGAAAGAAGGGAAACAAAATTTTTCATTTTTTCAAAATTTTTCATTTCTTCATTTAATTTTTTTCCATTTAATGATCTAATGATGCCCTTTCTATTTCAGACAAGGTGCAAAAACACATTGTAAACATAGTTAGACCTGCTCTTGCAGCCAACATCCAACCATTATTAAATTGTTGTAATGTTACTTCTCTTTCTCTTTTCTACAAATACAAATAAATGAACACTACTCTAAAGAGCTAGTGTCTCTTGTGCCATCTACTAAAATTCATTCTCGTGTTACTTGTCATTCAATTAAGTCTCACCCTTTTTCTGTGACTGTTCCTAAGTACTCCAAAAACTCATATTCCTCAAGTATTTGTCCTCGGACATCAGTTCTTTGGAATTTGCTTCCTTCATCTTGCTTTCCTGATTCACTATATTTGCAATCTTTTAAGCCGTCTGTCAATCGTTATCTTGCTCTACAATCTTCATCTTTTATATTCCAGTAACTTCCAACTCTAAAAGTGGTTGCTTGCAGTCTTGGAAGCAAAAATGTTTAAAAAAAAAAGAAAAAAAAAAAAAAATTTCCTTCACAAAAATTATATCACATTTTGAAATTATCTTTGATTTAAATTTCTTACAAATTTAAACAATGGAGAACATCACAATTTCTTTCTAAACACCATCCTTTTTTGTCACTATCTTTATGTTATATATACATAACTATGTTATACATAAAACATTTCACTAAGTTGTACATAAAAGGTCAGGTCAGGAGTATGGTCTTCATGATCATCCTGCTACTGGTAACATGTAACCTAGTGCAACCTGTTCCATGTTCTGCTGCCTTGCAGGATTTGCTATCTAAGCAAAGGCTGGAAGGAGTGTTCTTCCTGTCATCAGTACTTATATCTTATATCAGTATCTTATATCAGTCATGCCTATAGTAATTTTTTATTTTTATTTTTTTTTTCCATATAGTTGGAGGTGCCTTAGTTACTGTATTAGCTCACCTGTAATCTACGTTATATGTATGTTTGTGTTCTGTCTGAACCTCTGGCGCGGTGTTCGCTCACCCGTAAGTTACTTTATGTTTATGTATATGTTTTTTATGTTTTTTATGTATGTTTGTGTAATGTCTGAACCTCTGGCGCGGTGTTGACTCACCCGTAAGTTGATTTATGTTTGTTTGTGTTCTGTTTATACTCTAATGCAGCGTGAGCTCAGTAACTAACTACTTACTCCGACTACAAAACCTACACTCACCTTAGACTCCTGTATTTTGTTAGATGCAGTGCTTTTCCTAATGCACTTCCAAAATATTATGCCTGGTTTTCTCAAAGTACTGTTGCGGGAAGTAACTCCTTTTAACTACTCCAGGTCAGGTCAGGATAATCGAGATCAATCTTGCTACTGGTATCAAGTAACCCAGTACCACCTGCTATAAGTCCTGCTGCCTTGCAGAGTGTGCTCTACTTAGGCAAAGGCTAGGAGAAATAAACTCCGACTAAAAATTCCCCTGCCTTGGGGCTCTTGGTTGAGTAAAGGCTAGAGATGGTGTCTCGATAAAAATACTCATCTTGGGCAGATGTTAACTGCATCCAGCTAAACATCCCCTGCTTTGGGGCTCTTGGTTGAGTAAAGGCTAGAGATGGTGTCTTGATAAAAATACTCATCTTGGGCAGATGTTAACTGCATCCTGCTACTGTCTTGTAGAAGGCCTCCTTGGCAAAGACTTTAGGGGTAAGCAGAAAAATTCTGCTAACCAGCCTCGAACCCTTTCTTCATCTATTAGGCTGGCACAGATGTAACCTGTGTTATATTGTTTCCTGCCTAGGATAATGAACGCTGGATCTCCTTGACTCTACTCATAGAATTTTGCTTATGCCTCCTTGACAATGGCTATGCAATTCTTCCTGCTATCTCCATATGAGGGCACAGCTCTAAAACTCAGTTTAATGGTTCTGAGGCCGGCTGGTAGTAAGGTTTCCCGAACTCTGTGGTAGCTCTCAGAGAGGCTGATTCCATCAACAGCTGCAAAATATCAGAGTATTAACAGTACCATGTTGCGCATGGATGGTGTCCCTGTTAATGCTTTTGGTGTGCATTGTCATGGCCACCTAAGGAGCCCTATGTCACGGCTTAGGGTTAATTAACAGGACTAAGACAGCTGCATAGCTCATTGATTAGGAGGCTGTGCTTTATCTATGAATGAGTCAAGTTCTCATTAAACCCAAATCATGACCAAAGTAACCAAAAATTTAAAACCGAAAAAACCATCCCCACCACCTAAATATTTTAATATATCTTTTACAAATATTTGCAGTCTACGAAGCAACTTTCCATCAGTTGAGTCTTACCTCCTGCAAAATTCACCAGACTTGCTTGCACTCAGTGAAACAAATTTAAGTTCTGCTATTCCTCCTTCAGATGTCAGTGTTGATGGGTACTATCCTTTGATTCATAAAGACTCCAATAGTCACATGCTAGGTTTAGGGGTATACATACGCATTAATTCCCCTATTTGTCGTGAAATCAGGTTCAAATCCTTTGACCATTCTTTTAAGTGCTTTCGCCTAGCACCCCTTCACTCTATCAACTTTCTCTTTGTTCTTTATCGTTCTCCTTCTTCCCATGATTGCACTCTTTTAGATGTTATCTCTGATCAAATTGACCATGCCCTCTCTCTTTACCCCTCTGCCAATATTGTTGTTGTTGGTGATTTTAATGCCCATCACACTGAATGGCTTGGCTCTAACACCACTGATCCTGCTGGCACTAAAGCCTTTAACTTCTGCGTTTCTCAATCTCTTACTCAGATAGTTAACTTTGTGACTCGTTTTCCTAACAACCCTAATCATTTACCTTCACTCCTTGACTTATGTCTTGTCTCTGACCCTAGCTTATGTTCAGTTTCTCCCTTTTCTCCCTTAGGTGGTTCTGACCATGCAATAATTTCTATAAATCTTTCTTCTCGTACTTCTTTTTTGGGCTCACCTTATTATCGCACCACCTACTACTACCCTAAAGCTGACTGGGATTCGTTTCGTGATTTTATTCGTGATGGTCCTTGGGCTGATATTTTTTCTCTCTCAGCTGACAAATGCGCCTCCTACATAAACTCCTGGATTCAGGCTGGAATGGAAGCTTTTATTCCTTCGCGTCGGTTTCAAGTCAAGCCTCATTCTACTCCATGGTTTTCTCCTTCTTGTGCGGCTGCTATATCCAATCGTAACCATTTTTTTCATCTTTTTCAAAAGAACAACTCTCTTGAGAACAAACGGCTATTTATTATTGCAAGAAATCAATGTAAAAAGGTGCTTTCTGATGCTAAACTCCATTATTCTCAGTTCACTAAATCTCGCATCTTATCGCAGAAGTTAGGCTCTAAAGACTTTTGGAAAATCTTCAACAGCATTGTTAACAAGGGTAGATCTAACATTCCATCTCTCATTCATGGGACTGATCTTGTTACCTCTCCCAGGGATAAGGCAGAACTGTTTGCAAAGAACTTTTCTTCTAATTCCACTCTTGAATCTTATGGACATTCTCTTCCTTCCATTCCAGTCAAACAGGTTGACCCATTGTTAGACATTCAAATCACTCCGGCTTCTGTTGCTAAAGTCATATCTCAATTAAACTCGTCTACAGCTTGTGGTCCAGACAACATTCCTGTCACAGTCTTGCAGAATTGTTCTCCAGAACTTTCTTCAATTCTCTCTAAACTATTTAACAAGTGTTTGACTGAGTCTTGTTTTCCTGCTTGTTGGAAAATGGCATCTGTGGTTCCAATATTCAAAAACTCTGAAGAAAATTCTGACCCCTCCAATTATCGTCCGATCAGTCTTCTTTCTGTTATTAGCAAGGTCTTTGAGTCTTTGATCAACAAATTCCTCACATCTCATCTTGAGTCAAATAAACTACTGTCAGACAATCAATACGGTTTTCGATCCTCTCGCTCTACGGCCGACTTGCTAACTGCTGTAACTGAAAGATTTTATCGTGCATTAGATGGAGGCGGTGAGGCTAGGGCTATTGCTCTCGACATATCTAAAGCTTTCGACAAAGTTTGGCATGCTGGTCTTCTCCATAAGCTTGCTTCATATGGTGTTTCTGGGAAAGTTTTTGAGATTATCAAATCATTTCTTTCTGACCGGTTTATTAAAGTCATCCTTGAAGGCCAACACTCTTCTTTATTTCCAGTAACTTCTGGGGTTCCCCAAGGTTCCATCCTGGGCCCTGTTTTGTTTCTTATCTACATAAACGATCTTCCTGACAACCTTTCATCTAAAGTAGCTCTTTTTGCTGATGACTCAACTTTATACTCCTGTCTTGACAAAAAGTCTTCTCTTTTCGATTGCCTAGAACAAGCAGCTGATCTTGAATCTGATCTCACTTCAGTAATAGATTGGGGTTCACAGTGATTCCATTCTCTACCTCTACAAATCTCTTATTTGTCCCTGTATGGAATACTGTTGTCATATTTGGGATGGTTCTTCTAACGATTCACTTTCTCTTCTTGACAAGGTCCAAAAACGCATTGTAAATGCTGTTGGACCTGGACTATCTGCTAAGCTTGAACCTCTTTCCCATCGTCGTAAAGTTGCATCTCTTTCTCTTTTGTACAGATACTATCATGGTCACTGCTCAAAGGAGTTATCATCTCTAGTTCCATCAACTAAAATTCATTATCGTTTTACTCGTCATTTAGCTAAGTCTCATTCGTTTACTGTATCTGTCCCTGCATGCTCTAAAAACTTTTATTCATCTAGTTTTTTTCCCCGCACTTCAATCCTTTGGAACTCTCTCCCATCTTCATGTTTTCCTGACTCATACAACCTTCAACTTTTCAAGTCTTCTGTCAACCGTTTCCTTGCTCTATAACTCTGTTCTTTTTTTCTCCTAGTAACTCCCAACTTAATAGTGGTTGCTTGCAGCCTTGTTGGGAGTGAATGCAAATAAATAAAAAAAAAAAAAAAAATTCACTAAGTTGTGCATAAAACATTTCACTAAGTTGTACATAAATATATGTCAATACTGTCAACAATTTTCAAAAATCTGATAAATATACATGGTCAAAATACACATTTTAAGCTTAATTTTTTAAGCCTTATACATGAAAAATACTCCAATGATCATAAATATGTAAAATGCTATCATGATCATAAGGTAGCTCTAATTTTTTTGTTTATTAAATTGCCAAAATTAAAAACATTAATAAAAAACATTTTATATAATAAAGTACATTCTCTATAAATAAAAAATATTAGTCAAGTTTTTATACTTTGAGTCTTACATCTTATTTTTACACTTGATGATATAACATAATATACTTGATGGTATAACATAATATACTTCATGATATAACATAATATACTTCATGATATAACATATACTTCATAATATAACATAATATACTTCATGATATATTATAATATACTTCATTATAAAACATAATATACTTGATGATATAACATTATACCCTTGATGATATACATAATACCCTTGATATATAAAGCACTATATATTTGATTTATACTTGATTATGACTTGATAATATAACATTATATACTTAATGATGTAACATAAAAAATTTGAAAGATGTTGAATCATTAACAACTACTAAATTAAATTTACTAAAATATAGTTAATGTTTAAAATACTTTAATCAATTTTCAATAATTATTTACTAATAGCGTGGTATTTGCAACAAAAGCATTTATTAAAGTTTTGAGTAAAATAGTTTTCTTATCGTAACTAAAGTAATACCGCCCACTGGTAAATTCATGTATTAGGAAATTGCCTTTAAATCAACTCTTAGGATAAAACTAAACAAGATTAATATACATATGATCAAAATGATGATAGAAGAAATGATAATTAAAAATCATTGTTGCGGCATTGGTTTTAACTAGGGGTGGAGGAGAAGAGGGAGGTGGGGGGGGGGGGGAAAGCAAACTCAAAAACATTTCCACCCCCCACCCCCTAAGTCACCAAGAAAAAAAGAGTATTCCCATAAGAATAGGAGTAAAAGTCACAAACTCAAAACGCGACCTGAGTGCTTATTTATTCTATCTCCATTTTAAAATGTTGGGAGAAAATATTAAGTGATCTTATTAAGGTAACAAATATTTAAGCAATAAATTTTAAATTTTAATAATAACTATTGAAAATATTATTTGCTATTAAATTTACTTATTATTTATAACAAAAAAAGTTAAAAAAATAAAATATGAAAAATTTTATTTTTATTTTTAGATAATAACGCGGAAAAGTTATTTTAACATTTTAAAATGGAGTTGAAATAAATAAGATCACTCAGATCACAATTGAAAGCACTCAGATGACAAACATAACAATTGAAATAAACAAGCACTCAGATGACAAACATAACAATTGAAATAAACAAGCACTCAGATGACAAACATAACAATTGAAATAAACAAGCACTCAGATGACAAACATAACAATTGAAATAAACAAGCACTCAGATGACAAACATAACAATTGAAATAAACAAGCACTCAGATGACAAACATAACAATTGAAATAAACAAGCACTCAGATGACAAACATAACAATTGAAATAAACAAGCACTCAGATGACAAACATAACAATTGAAATAAACAAGCACTCAGATGACAAACATAACAATTGAAATAAACAAGCACTCAGATGACAAACATAACAATTGAAATAAACAAGCACTCAGATGACAAACATAACAATTGAAATAAACAAGCACTCAGATGACAAACATAACAATTGAAATAAATAAGCACTCAGATGACAAACATAACAATTGAAATAAACAAGCACTCAGATGACAAACATAACAATTGAAATAAATAAGCACTCAGATGACAAACATAACAATTGAAATAAACAAGCACTCAGATGACAAACATAACAATTGAAATAAATAAGCACTCAGATGACAAAAGAACTCTGAGTTCTTCACTGCATTAGGCTAAATTTTAGAGCTGTAGAAGATAACAGAAAAAGTTGTATATCCACAACCAACTAAGCATTAACAAAAATCCATAAGTAGAGTCAACAAGATCCCTTAAGTCTTTGCTTAAGAGGCTTTTTTAGATAATAGTTAGCTACAGAACTATACAAAATACCAGGAACTACATAAACTATCAGAAACTATACAATACATCAGGAACTACATAAATAAAATAATAAAATGTACTTTATTCTAAAAAAAAATTTCTAAAGTAAAAGGTCTAAAATAATACTGACGCTTTAAAAAGTGTTTTTCAAGAGATTATGATAATTAAAAAAATTCAATTTAAAATATATATAAAAAAAAATGATGAGGGAGACAATAGTGAGTCTTGAAATAAAAATTTTAACACAGCTTTATTATAAAGCATTGCGTTAAACATTTTTAAATGAATAGGGCTATGTTATTTCCAACATAATAACTTTTTGGTTCAAATAAGTCTAAAGATATCTATTGAGCATTTTGATTAATAAAGTAACTAACATTTTAAAAACAGCTCACCATTAAAATTTCGAATGAGAATTATTGAATGACCATAAAATATATTTGTTACTTACAAATAGAATAAAATTATTATTATTTAAACATAATTATTTGATTTGCTATTTATAATAATGAGTATTTATATAAATGTCAAATCAAGGGAACTGCCAAATTTGGCTGCATTTTGTGATATAGGCCATAAATTAATTTCTAAAAAAGGCTTTTTTGTTAGGAATCAGTATAACTTTGTTGCTAAGGTGGATTAGTTACAGTTTTAGTAAGCAACTGCATTATACATTGCATATTTTGTTTTATAGTTTTACTAATTGTCACATTTTTATTAATATACCCAAGTTTGCTAGATTTACTTGAAAATGAATAGGTAAGTTTCATTTATTTTTGTAGTAGAACTAATATGTTTTTGCAATAAAGTATTGATAGAGTGAAATCTTATTATCACCCTATCTTTAAAAGTTTACTTGCTTTCTTAATGAGATAATGATTAAGTGAATATTATAGTATTTAGTATAATTAGTGAAATAAGTAATTAAATAAATATTGCCTTTATGTAGTAATTTTTGTTGTAGTAATTTTATAAAAAAAAACATCTGTTGCATTTAATTAATAGATATGGTGTTTAAAATGAGAAAATAAGAGAATATATTGTTTCAGAAAACTGAAGTATGCAAGCTGTAAAACCAACCTATGGGTAAAGATAATGGTACTTCAGCAACCAGGTTTCTTACTTCAGCATATTGCAGATAACATAAAGATAACCAAGAAAATATTATAACCTTAAAGTAAAGTATTATAATCTTAAAGTAAAGAGAGTTACTGAGACAGGTAGGATAGCATATTGCAATGTATTGGCATTATTTAGGGTTGCATGTCTAGTTTTAGTGTCAGTTGTTTGTTCAGTTTCAGGGCACCGTGAACCAAGATATAAAAATAGATACTCTGAAAAAGCAGTTTCTTTGCTCTGCCAAGAAGCTTTATGACAGAAATGGAAAGTTAGGTTTTCAGCATGATAATGCACCATGCCACAGGACAAAAAAAGTTTCATTGTATCTAAAAAGATCTTGAGTCACAGCGATCGAATGGCCAGCACAGACTTTATTCCCATTAAAAATCTGAGAGGAGCTCTTCAGAAAATTGCAGTCAAAACAATTTGAATGATTTGTAGATGCTATTTGGGGCAGCTTGGCAAGCTAATTCAGTGTCCAAAATTCAAAAGCTTAAAAAATCAATGTCTAGATGGACTAATGTCAAGTTTAAAGCACTTAGTGCTTAAAATATGACAGTAGTGTGTTGCATTAAATTTTGCATTAATTTTTGTCTTGTATTTTCAAAACAATATTCAATACAAGTGTATTGAATTGTGCTGCATATTTTTGGTGCTACACTTTCATCTAAACTTGCATTTTAACTTATTTAGAGTTTTGTAATATTTTTGTGTGATTTTTATGACTTTATGCCGCTAAGGTATATTTAACTTTTTATCAATTGACATTTTTTATAAATTCCTCTATTGTGAGTGAGGTGAATAAATTAGTAAAACAAAAAAAAATATTGTATCAAATTAAAATAATACAAGTCTTTTTTTGTTGTGCTGAGAAACAAATAAATTATTTTACATTTTTGTTGTATGAAAAAAAGAAATAAATTATTTTACATTTTAAAAAACTGGAAGCAAAAAAATCATCCAAAACGTTTGTGCATAATCAAACATTTTTTGAATTAATTAAAACAGTTTTGTGGTAGTTTAATAAACTATTGTAGTTTAAAAAAGTAAATCTCCATAAATCTCCCTATATTAGAAAAGTAAATCTCCATAAATACAAAAAATAAATCTCATAATTATGAAAATGCTTTCAAAAAATCTTGTGTATTAAATTGTAACTTATAAAACAATATTTAATTTATTTATGTCATTATTGCTACATTCATTTTTCATTCATTTTATTTGTACATTTATGTAACAATTTCTTGTTCTTTGCATAATCTGTATTTAATGAGTTTTGTGACTTTTTCATAAGTTTACTGTAAAAAGTTTTATATCAACAATTTTATGTTTAATAGTATTATATTTTTTTATGAATTTTTACTTTGATTCACTCAGTTCAAAAGTAACAGAAAAAAATCAAAAATCAAATAACTAATAAATAAATTTAAAAAAACCTTTATATTTCCTTGAATATCCATTTTAACAGGAGCAAATGTTGTTGCGCCCAACTTATCTAAAAATTATGCTTTTATAATTACAAAGCAAAAAAACTGTAATTAAAAAATGAATAAACCAATCAAACTTTGAAAACAAAATAAAAAATAATTTTCTCTCTCTCTCTCTCTCTCTCTCTCTCTCTCTCTCTATATATATATATATATATATATATATATATATATATATATATATATATATATATATATATATATATATATATATATATATAGGCTTTTTTTAAAGTGTTATGCATAGAGGAATTTAAGTATGCCGTAAGAGATTTTACGTAAGCAGTAAGCAATTTAGATTAGGCGACTTTTTATCATTTTTTAACTTTTAAATTATTCTACAAGTGGTAAGATAAAAAAAATAATTTGAAAAAAAGTCACATTCATTTTTGAATGATGTTTACAAATAAGTACTATTCAGTAATGAAAAAAACTCAAATAAAATAAAAAGTTTAATTTTAATTTTGTTTTTATTTTATTGTGAGGATTTTTTAAGCTTGAAGCAAAGATCATAATTTAATTCTAATCTTTATTTTTCAGAACAAATTTCAATATTGAATAATATAGAAATTTTATTTGTTCTTAAAAAAAGATTAGCTTATTTTTATCGTAAATGTTTTTTTGGTTTTCCTTTCTAAGCATATTTTTTTTTACTCAAAATTAAATTTTAAATGGCTGCATCAAAAATTTGCATAAATTTAAAATTTAAACTTTTTTTTCATAACGCAAATTAAATCTCAGTGATTATTTTTTAATAAACGATATATACAGTGATATAACTTTAATAATAAAATAATAACCTAATAAGCTTTCAATAAATAAAGTAAATAAATTAGCATAACTTATTTTTTACTCTCTATTTTTTTTAATAAAAAACTATTTGTAGTTACAAAGCCGCAAATAGAAATTTAAAAAATAATAATTTTAAAAATTCATAAATTTAACATATTTTCATTCTTTCGTGTAAATGTCAAGAAAAGAAAGAAATTTGTTTACAACATTTTAACATTTTAAAAAAAGTAACATTAAATATAATTGTTCAATATTAAAAAAAAAAAATAATATAGAGACAGATAACGTTTTAATTTAGTTTAGTAAAACACAACAAAGTTTTAAAGACTACTACAGAAAATATTAAAAAAAAAAACATGATGTTTTATATATGAAAAACTTGATAATCAATAGCACAAAGATCAACTATTAAAAAATCAACAAAACAAATAATAAGAATTTTATCTACACAGCACACATCCCTACATCCCTACTATTTTATAAAAAAGCATAACATATTTTATTTAAAAACTATAAAACTAGATTTTACAGCTAAAATTGAAAAAAAATTTTGAAAGCACAAACCAAAAACTGGAAGAATACATCTGCATGCTTCGAGAAATGATTTTGTAGGTATGAGACCATGGTGTCCAATTTGAACATCTTCAAACCTGGAATAATAATACTAAAGTTGTAAATATTTGTTTTTAACATCATCAATTTCATTCTAACACTCATAAATGATTTATGGATGATTTTACAATAACAAAAGTAATAGTATATTTCCATACAATGCATTATAAAGATAACAACATATCTCTTGTTACAGGTATCGTGAATGATTCTTCACATGAAACTCCCTGACTTTCTTTTGAAATCAATCAAAATCCCTGACCATTTTCAGCAATTTTAGCTATAACATAATTTTCTGCTATAATGGACATGCTATAAATGGACATTTAAATGGCAAAACTTACAAAACTCAATTATTAATAAAATAGGATTGAATATGGATATGAATCTTATTCCTAAAAATGATTATGGATGAACAGTAAGATTTCAGATGATTGAGCTTGTGAAATACTAAACAAAATTATGCAGGACATATATAATTTTTTATATCTTGTAAATAAAAATGATATCTTAAATCATTTTCATTAATTTATACATAAAAAATTTAACTTAAATTTATATGTAAAATATAAAATTGTATGAAAACACAATATATTTTAAAACCCTGTGCATTAATTTATAGCATTGATAGGCAGACATTAAATTGCACACGAATTATTTTAAATCCTAAAAACTGAAACAGGATGGCTACTTAATTTTTTTTTAAATTTGAGAACATTTTAAGAACAAAAAATTATTTTTTAAGAATAAAAATGTTTTAAACAACTCCAAGAAAAACTAATACTTTACAAACTAAATCAATTTACTGATTCACAATTCGCTGAATCACAATGAATCACAAGCTTAAACTAAAGTTGAAACAAGACTCAATGATGCATACTATGTATCAATAACAATAAAAATGTAAAAAACTAAATAGCTTTATGTGTACTCTATTTAGAAAAGACATGTGTAAAGTGATTTTTCAGTTATTTGTACAAATTAGTAAAAAAGTAAAACTTCTTTGAAATAGAAAAGTAATATTTGATATCATAAACCGAGGCAAGGCAAAAACAACAAATATCTACTCAGTTTCTTTCTCTTTTCTTCCAATAGCAATAATGTTTCTTCCAACTTTGCAATGTCATTCATATTCTCCTTATATTAAAGTAGGTTTTCTTTTCAGCTTGTTCATAAAATCTTTTGTACAAGCTGATTTTTTTTTGTTTTGTTATAAAACCATTTGTACAAACTGATGCTTTTTGTTTTAACCTCAAAATAGCAGCTTATTAAATACATTTGATTGGCTTTTTATCATTTTTATATATCACAGATGAGACTTTATGAAAATCCTGGAAATATTTTTTCTTTGATAATCCCGGAAAATCCGGGAAAATTGTTTTATTAAAAATTGATCGCATTTAACTGACAATTGGAATTTAGATTATTTTAAAACAGAATTTATATTAATTAATTTTTTACAAAAAGGAATTTCTAATATTCGAAAAATTTTGAATAAATTAAAAAGCAAAAAAAAAAAAAATGAAGAAAAAAAATTGTTACGAAAATCAATCTTGTGAAAATTTTAATTATAGAAAATTTGAATAAATGCAAAAGTTGTCGTATGTAAAATTTTATGTAAAAATATATTAATTTTTTTTCAAATTAATATCAAAAAACATCCGGAAATTCCTGGAAAAATTAAAGGTGTTTTATGTGAATTTCCGGAATTCTGGGAATTTCCGGAAAAAACTCATCAATATTATATATTTTTTTATTTTTATGTAAACTCACCTTCCCAACCCAAAAAAAACCACTACAGTTGAAGAGGCTACTTTAATTTTGGTTACAACCCTCTCTAAACTCTATAACTCTGAAACACGAACCTTGACAAGCAAGGCCACTACGTGGAGAAACAAGTTGAGCGCGGTACTACCAGTGACATAACGGAGATCGAAGTCAGAACCCCTCACTTATGAGGCTAGCACTTACCACTACACCACTATTGCATTTAAAATAATCTTACATAACCTTACTGCATTTAAAGCAAGTTTTACACAATCTTATTTAAAAAAATAATTTTTTTGAACACATAATTAAATAAAAAGATTTGTTTGCACCATTTATTACACATTTCATAAGCATAAATTATTAAAAACTCACTTTAGAGAATGCAGGGCAACAAGATGAAACGTATACTTGACTTTAAAAACATAAAGCATTTACTTGACTTTTAAAGAAATTAATATTTTATTCTCCTGTAACCAATTCTGGTTAATTAGATTTGATAAACAAGAATAACAAGTCAAATTTTTGTAAAATAAAAAAAATTTTGTTATAAGATGAAGACATTATTAGGCAATTTAGTTCATTTAAAGTTTACGAATGTAAAACAACGTAAGAGAAACAGAAATTTTATAACTTTTATTAAAAAATTATTCTTTAGTCTTTATTTTGAAAATGAGTCCTTCTTGTGCGTTAACTAGTTAAAATAAAATGTTATAAGTAAAACACAAAAAATGTTTTTAAAATTAGGTAAAATTAAATGAAAACTTGATTATCCAGAATTAAAAAATTATTAAAAAATATAAATATATTTATCTTCTTCCTTTTAACTTTTGTCTTTTTGGTCTATCAATGTTAATAAACTAAAATGATAAAATCTTTGAATAATTATTTTGAGTTCTGTATGTGTAACAAGGCCTTATAACACATAATACACATTTGTTTCTCCTGAAGGTAACTTTAAAAAGTTGATAGTTTTGTATTAAAAATTTTAACAGTAGACTTACTTCGCAGGTGCTTTTCCAAATATTGATTTCCTTGCAATTGGTAGCGGAACTATGGGTACTTGATCACTTTCTGGTGTTGTAACATCATTTTTCAATAAAGCATTAGGTATATCGGATTTAACAGAGCTGGTACAAGATGAAGCAGATGAAACAGATGAATCTGTTAGATTTAAATTTCTATCTGGGTCATCAGGTGTGTTGTAATGAGCAGTGTCAACATTAAATGATGAATCATTAGGCAAGAGCGGTTCAAAATAACTATTAGAGTCTTGTGCTTTGGGATAAGATACCAAAGATACTTTTGAAGAATGTGATCCTTTCATATAAAAATAAAAATATCTCATAAATAAGTGTGTCCTAATGCAAGTATGTATAATAGTATAACTTGAACTATATAAACAATAAAAGTACACATTAAAAACTATATAACTATATAAGTAAGCAATTGCCTAATTATAAAACACTGGTCACAAGAGATTTTATCAAGTTTATATCTCAAGCATATAACAAATAAGTATTAAAATTATTGATACAGCTATTAAAAACAAAAAAAATATTTTATCTTAATAAAAATAATAATCTTAAGAAAAATTATAAATACAATAATAAAATATTTTATCTTAATATTAAAAAAAATTGTAAAAAAAATGTAGTCAAATAATAAGTATAATGTAACAGTTTTATAAAATAACTTAATTTGATAAATGATTTAAACTCCAATTAACTGATTTTAAGAATCTTCAATTTATATACAGCAGCCAACCACAGTGTTTGTTCAACAGAATTTTATGTTAAGATGAGATTGAAATTTGGCGCTATTTTGAAATAAAAAATGCTTTAAGAGAACAAAAACAAACTTTGCTGGGTTTAAAATCCAGCGAAATTCCTTTTTTCTTCAGAGTAAGCTTTTTTTTTTTTTTCTTACTTTTTTCAAAATTAGTTTCCTAAACTTTTTTCTTTCTGCTATATTTCTTTTCATTTAACTTTTTTTTTACTTTTTACAACTATATATGCATGTTTTTGAGTAAAAATATATAAAATATATATATATATATATATATATATATAAAATTTCATATATATATATATATATATATATATATATATATATATATATATATATATATATATATATATATATATATATATATATATATATATAATATAATATAAAGTATATACATATATTTACATACTTACATTATTATTACTACTATTATAAAACATATATCTAATTGACTCCATTTTGCTAAAATTCACATCCATAGTTTAAGATTTTCAATAAGTGTTTTTTGATGAACTTCTTCAAGTAGCACATTTAAGTATTCAGGTTTATTCTTTCTTTTGTAGTTTTCTTTCGAATTCTTATTTTCTAGAATATTAAGATTATTTTTTCCTTTGTAGTTTTTTTTTTTTTTTTTGAATTCTTATTTTCTAGAATTTAAACGAAACAGTTATTTTATTATATATATTATAATGTATGTACAACAACCTCATATTATCAAAGGAGAATCTCAATGACTTCTGAAATGGTACATTTAAGGTCAAACTCATAATTTCCATAATTTCTTGTACTTCTTTATCATCGAAAACTTACTTTTCTGTTTCTTACTGAGAATCCTTGTTCAGGTAATGTTTATATACAACACACACATATCTATATTTCTTGCTAAAAATCCTTGCTCAAGTAATGTTTATTTAGAAGAGTTCATAGATCATTATTGGGTTTTTTTTTTTGCTTGGCTTCAAAAAAATCATGTTTTAAATAAAATGCAGAAAAATGTATATTTTCTTAGAAACTGCTTGGATACAATGGAGAAGTAGATTATACTAAAATAGAATATACTATAACTTTCAGTTATTTTCTGAAATGTTTTGAAATTATATATATATACATATATATAAATATATATATATATATATATCAGGCTTTCACAGGAAGACGTGCGATTTCATGTCTTTATGTGACCACGCAAGTTACATTTTGCTATGACGGTTTGACCGCGGCTGATTCAAAAAACATTTTAGAAACGCGCTAAATAAAAAATATTCTAAAAAAGTGAAATTAATTACATCAAAACTTCTTAACAAATGTTTTTATATTAGCAAAGCAATTTTAAATAAAGTAACAATTTACTGAAAAAAAGTTTTGTTTTTTAAATATAATTGACAGTTGTATATATTTTTTAATTTAAAACATATAAATTAAGTGTTCATTTCTAAAATAAATCTTATTAATTTAAAAAAAAGTATTTATAAAATGTTTTTTTATTTTATTTATATAACTATGTACTTTTAATGAGAAATATATAACTTTTGAACATATTAAACAAATAAAAAATATACAAAAATGTTGAAACAAAGATTGAAAAGGTTTTTTAATGTGTAAATAAAATAAAATAAGCATTTTAGTTTGATAAGTTTTGTTTTAGTTGCGTTATATATATATATATTTATTTTTTTGTGTTTTTGCTTTAACTAAGCATTTTTTTTTATTTTCTCTTTCGTTAAGATTTATTTATTTTTTTAAATTTTTTTTTCAGATAAGTTTAGGTAAGTTTTTGTAGCGCGTTTTTAAATTTTAAAAAAATACTGTGATCAAATCGTTAAAACATTTTTTTTTTTGCGTGGTCATATAAAGACATAAAATCGCACGTCTTCCTGTGAAAGCCTGATATATATATATATATATATATATATATATATATATATATATATATATATATATATATATATATAATACATGCATTTGTAATTACTGTATGTTATAAACACGTAAACTCAAAGCATTTGTTAAAACAAATATTTTGGATCTGTAATTAATAAATAGTTATTTTTATTAGTTTCATTTTACAAGCAATTTTCATTATATTCAAAAAAATTATTTTGTTGTAGATATGTTTAAAACTATGCTGTACCAATAAACTTTAGCATTTTGAGTCAAATATTCATTACTTTTACCTTTGAAGTATAAAAATTATTAAAGTGTTTAGAAACTTAAAAAAGTGTTAGGAAAAAACTACACAACTTTCAAAAGTGTTGGATGCTTTTTTCTATTACCTTTAGAAGGTCCTGAAAATTTGTAGAGAATTAAAAGGTATATTCAAGTAAAAAGAGGAAACCCAGAATACTTGACTATGTAAATAACTATATAAACATATTTATATTTATAAAAGAAACTAATATCTATTTAAAACACAAACAAACAAAAAAAACTATGTCAAAGAAAAATTTCACTGTAAAAAGAAAAGCACCTGATTCTGCATAAGAGCCTGAGTTGGAAGATAAACTAGAAGAAGAGCGTAGAGATCTAAAAACAAAAAACATATGAAAAACTTATTTCATAGATTATATGGTTGCCCTTATAATTGAAAAAAATAATATTTATTAAATCAATGTCTACTCTGAATCATCTAAATAGTTCCATAACAATTATGTTTAAAGTTTTTTGACAAAAATTTTTTAATAATTTGAGAAGGCTTAACTCTTAATACCATACACAAATACAATATTTTCTTATATACAACTGTCATTTGTTTATTAATAAAAAAAACACTTTAAACGCTAAAAACAGTTTTAAAGTATAAAAACTCAAAAAAAAATTTTTTATAAGAAACCTTGACCTAAAGAGCACTTAAAAGCTTAATAACTTAATCTGCAATCAATAGAGTGAAACATTTTTCTATTGTTTGTGTCATATGCAATAAAAAAAAAAAAAAAAAAAAAATTAGTAAAAAAAAGTATTTATCTAAAAACTTCAAGTTCAAAAGCATGTAGACAAATTATTTCTGTTTTTTTTTTTCAGTATATTTTTAATCAAAACGTTAAAACATTTCTTTTAGAAAAATTATGTAAATAATATAAGAATCTGCCATTATCATATGGCTAGACAAACACATTTTACATGACATGTAAAACAATTTATAGTTAACACATGCAAGACCAATATTGAAATAAGTAAAATATTTGGCTTGATAAAGCAAACAATTCATTAAGTTTTGAAGCATTTTTGTTTACTGAATATATTCGCAAAACAAATATTTTTGATCTAAAAGATATGTTAAGTTTGTAAGCATTTATGATGAACTCACAAAAGCAGTTAAATGTACTTTGAAGCAATTCAAGGCGCGAATTAAGTGATCACAAAATATGGGAAAATTTCTGGTCTTCAAACTCTTAGTTTATTAAAAATGGTAAACACTTTTTAATGAAATGATAAATTTATCATATTGCAAAAATTAACGAAAAAAAAAAAAGAATTTTCTTTTGCAAAAGTAATAACAATGAAAACCTAAAATTTTAATTTGTTTGTTTTAACACCAGTTAATTTAAGTACTATAAATAAAAAATTTAAAGAAAAAAGAAAAGAAAAACTACTAAAGGTCCAAAAAATATGAGTGATAATTTAGAAATAAATCAATAAAAATTATACTTAAGCTATTTGCGCATTGCATGAAACATTAAAATCCAATTTTTGTTTGAGAGGGAGGGGAAGGGGAGGGGAGGGGGTAACAATAACGAATTAATTATTTAAAAACGTAAATGTTTTAAATTAGATATTAATTGATAATAAAATTGATGAATAAAAAATATTATAAAATATATTATTATAGTTTTTTTTGCTTTGCTTTAAAATATCTATTAAACTGCTAAATTCTTAAAATTCCAATAAAATTTTAACAACTAATATGGTTCTATTAATAAAATTTTAAATAATATAATTGCAAAAATAAACAAAACACACCATTATCACACTTGGTTAGTTTTTATATAAAATCAAAAAATGTTTTTCAGTAGTTAAAATCATTTTTTTAAAAAGAGTCTATTACCAAGTTTTTTTTAATAATTTCTTGAAAAAGTTAAATTTCAGATTATAGAACTATAGATTGAAATTTGTTGAAATAGGTTTCCATAGTTTTTTAGGACTTTTTGTGACAAGATTATAAGTAACTAAAAGTATTAAAATCAAAAAAAAATTAAACAAGTGTGTTTTGAGACAGGTTCTACAACATAGTTATTTTTAACCATGTTCAGTTCATACTTCAGCATTTTATGTTTATTGAACTCTGCATAAAAAAAAATATTTTAAAATTGTTCATTCATTTTATGATTATTAATTAATTTTTATAATTGTTCATTCATTTTAATAACTGTTTATTCATTTTAATAATTGTTGTACTTTTGCTCTTGCTATTTCTCATTTTGTTCTTTTTTTTTTAAATATTATGAAAACCTTAGTACTTTGGGAAACCAGGTTAATATTATGAAAACCTTAGTAATTTTGGGAAACCAGGTTCATATTAAAATAAAATATCTTGGAAACCATTCAACATTTTGGTTTAAAATTTTTTCAGAAAATTTTTTTTGCAAGATGCAACAACCAAATATGTTTGAAGAAAATATAAGAATGGTTCAAAATTTCTTTAATTTTGAGTAATTTGATATAGAAAAATCTTGTAGTTACACAATTAATAAAAACATGACAACAACAAAAACAACAATATAGGATCGTTTATACAACTTAAAAATAATATATATTTTTCTTTTTAATAATTTAATTTAACTTTACAGTAATTTAAATAAAATTTGTTCATTTATTAAACAATCAATAGAAGTAATTTGCAAAAGCATTTAATTAAAGTTACACTTTAATTAGACGTTTTAAAAGATAAGTTTTATATAATTTTTTTTTTCCAATGCAATTAAAAACTTAACAAAAAGTAATTTTAACTTTTAGTCTTTTTAGTTTTATTTCAAAGCTTTATTTTTAATAAGTAATTGTTTTGCTTATTCTTTAATTTTTTTCCTAGTTTAAGTTTACCTTAACGTTTCTTTTTTCAGCACATTTCTGAAACGTTTAAGCCATCAAAACATCTAAACAGTCGTGGTCAAGTTGTAAACAAAACAAAAAAATCATTTGTGTGATAAGCAAATAGCGTTCAATTGCACCCCATTCCTGCCTAACCTTTATTTTGTAGATTTTAATTCCCATTGGTCAAAATTTCCAATTACTCTGTAAATTGATCAGACAATCTGAGGTTTTAGCCAGACAATGTCTGATGTCCGACTGTTAAATTGAGCCCTGCTTACAGATAAATAACAAATAATAAGAAAAATAATTTCAAACCTGTAACTGTTAACCAGTTCTTTAGAGGGCTTGGTGAGCTATGAATAAAAATTATGATTTAAATATCAACATAATCAAACGTTGTTTTGTTAGAATTGAACAACTGGAATGGGGGTTAAGAAGTAAATAAAAAAAAGTTAAATGCAGTAGTGGTGTAGTGGTAGAGCGCTCGCCTCATAAGCGAGAAACCCTGAGTTCAATCCCTACCATATCCTTGGTAGTACCATACTCAACTAGTTTCTCCTTGTTCATTAAGGTTCATGTTTTGTTATAAAGTTGAGAGGGGGTTGTAACCACTACTAAAGTAGCCTCCTCAACTGTAGTGGCCTTCATGGCCTTGGGGAGGTAAATTCAAATTTAACAAAAAAAAAAGTAGTGATAATAGTTTATTTTTACAAAAACTCTTGCCATTTCAAACTTTACTGGAAGGATAATTATAAACAACAAACTTATAACCTACAATTAGCTAAATTATTTATAATGCTCAAGGCCTAGATTTTTAATGCAGTGGTTTAACTCAATTATTTTCTAAACTTTGAACATTTTATTGATCAATTAAGCATCCTATTGACTTAAATATAGAAATAAAACATAATAAAAAAAAATAAAACAAAAAGGAAAAAATGAAGCATCAAACTTGCTAATGACATAAAATGTTTCATAAAAATCATTTTACTATATTATATATTATATTATTAATAAAAAATAATATTATATTATATTATTAATACAAAATATATTCCAACATACTGCATAATATGCAGTGCATATAGAAATATTTGACTTAGAATTTAAATAAAACAAGAAAGTCACTCACTTTAGTGGTTGAAATAGGATAATCCGAAAACAAATCTGAAAATAAATTTTAAACCAAAAATTCTTAAATAGTATTTCTTAACAGATAAAAACAAGTTTGCAAACAGATTTATAAAGACAGTTTACATATTGAATGAAATGAAAAACATCAAACTTAAAAACTGTCTGAAAAAAACATACTTAAATTATCTTCAACTATTTCCATGATATCATCCAAGTTTGATGCAAATGTGTCACATGTTGCTGATAATAATGTCACAGCTTCAATAATTTTCTAAGATCAAGTTACATTCAAATACATTTAAAGAATCATTGTATTCATATATTATAACTAAAACAGCTACAGGTATGGGATTTAAATGAAACATTTAAAGGTAATGGATTTAAATGGAACAGAGCTCATAAAAAAGACTACATTAAAAAGTATGAAAAATAAAAAGAAACTATAATATAAATAAAGTTAGAATAATAAATTCAAAACAAGACCAAATGTTGAAACCAAATCAAAGCCAATTTAAGGTATAGTTGTTTTTACAACTATACCTCAGAACCATTTAATTAATACTGAAACAAGTGTTTACATTAATAATACAATAAAAGTCATAAAAAGATTTCATGGCTTTATGGTAAAAAAAATTATATTTTCTTAAGAGGGGATCTGCTATTTATACCTTCTGATAATTCAAAAGCCTTTTGCACTGTGCAATAATGTATTGCTTTTAATAAATTCTAAGCTATATATATATTTTTTAAGACATAAGAAACTACAATGGCATATTTAGGTCATCCTTAGGTCTACTTGTGTTTTTCTTAATTTTACGTTGTGACTTTATAAAAAAGAAATTTGTATAGCTTTATCAACTAAAGTGGATAAACAATGAAGTAAAAACCTTATTAATTTATAATGATTAATAAATATATTTATGCTTAATAACCAAAAGAAAACCTTATGGTTGATCATTGAATAACTATCCAAAAGAAAACCTTATGGTTGATCATTGAAAAAACCATCGAAAAGAAAACCTTATGGTTGATCAAAAAAAAATCTTGAATAATTTTAAAAAAATTCTAAATAATTTAGATTCTTGATAAGTTATTAACTATAGATAAGAAAACATTTGATAAAAACCTCAACACAAATATTCAAGCTGAGTGTGCCTCGAGATGTCTTAAATTATTATTACTAATGTATACCACTAATTAAAACATTTGCAAAAAAAACTTACTTTATTTTCAGTAGTGTGACTACTAGCTTTAATTGTGCCAATTTGCTCAAGCATAATACCTCGGCACAATAATAGCTCTTTCATCTTGTCTTTCAAAAAAGTCATTGAATGGGCTAAAAAAATCTTATCTTTTCAGAAAGTCAATAACACTAAAATATTTTTGAATGAACAAAAAAAGTTAAATTAAGTTAAAAAAGTTAAGTTAAGTTAAAACATACTTTGTTGGTTTTGTTCTTCCAAATTAGAACTAATAATACATGCTTTTGCAGTTCCTAATGCAACAATCCATTTCTGTCTTTCTGCTGGTGTAGAAGCCTTTAAATAAATAAAATTCTCTGGTGGAATTTTTAGATCTATTCGAAGTTGGTCAGAAGCATTTACTAAAAACATACAAATGTTACAAACAGCACTAGTAGGTCTGAGCCTTACTAAATTCTAGATAGTACCTACTCAGTTTATTCAACATAAAGCTCTACAAGCTTGTTGAATTTAAACCATAGAAGTGTTGGACACTTGAAATACCAATATTATTTAATTTATGCAGTAGTGGTGTAGTGGTAGAGCGCTCCCTTCATAAACGAGTGGTTCCGAGTTTGATCCCCACCACGTCCCTGTTAGTACCACGCTTAACTCCGAAACACGAACCTTGTCGAACCTTGTTCGTCAAGGTTCGTGTTTCGGCGTTATAGAGTTGAGAGAGGGTTATAACCACAAATAAGTAGCCTCCTCGTCTGTAGTGGCCTTCTCGGCCTTGAGGAGGTGAATTAAAATTTTGTTATTTATTTAATTATTACATTTAAATTAAATTTATTATTAAATATTAATAAATATAAATTAATTTTATTAAATTTAATTCTAATCTTTTAAAAATTTTAAAACGCTCTGTTTTACAAATTTTTTTTACTGCTAAAATTTCCATGTTTTAAATATGTTAAAGAAAAGAAAATTAAAAAAAATAAATTTAATTCAAGTTGTTTTAAAATCTTTATATTACATTTAACTATTTTATTTATTTATTTACAGTTTCAAATCAATATTTCTTCTTTCATTTTGTTGCGAAAGTACTATTATATCAAAGTGCTTAATGCACTAATAACTGTATATGCATTGCTGGATAAACCATAAACAAGCCTGTATACAATATTACTAGATTTATTAAAAATATTTTAGAGAATTTTTTTAGTAAATTTTATTAAACAAATTTATGAAAAAATGATTTTTTCAGTTTTGAAATTGCTTGTTAAGAAAAGTTTTATCTTTATCATTAATTTTTTGAATTGATCCTATAAAAAACATCCATAAAAAAATGATTAACTAGTTTATGAGTAGTAAGCGAAGATTTTGCTAAAGCCAAAATGTTAAAAAAAATTGTTGATAGTACTTTTTTATTTTTTGACCAGTAAAGCGAGACAGAAAAGTGAGACAAGTTGTGTTATAACATAGAAAAACTTTGAAGATTAATTTTCATGTTAGTTAATCTTTACAGAACAAATTATTCATCGAGATATTAGAGAAAAACTTTACAATTTTTAACGCCATTTTTTTTTTTCTCGAAAGTAAGTTCTGGCACTTTGATTTTTTTTTTTAAATACTGGTCTGATGAATACACTTTTGTAGTTAATAAATAACATCAATACAAATAGTTCTTTTAAATAACTCAAGTTGTAGTTTAAAATATGCAACTGATGAAATTAAACTTTTAATGATGTAAATATGCTGATTGAGTAAAGTCACATTTACTTGCATTATGCTTTTCCGTTACAGAATAAAATCTCATAACAAGGTCTGAACTATTTTCATTACAAATAACTCTTTTTCATCTTTTATCTTAGATGCTACCATTACTCATTAGCTAATAGTAAGATATACAGTTTTCGATTAGTGGCTTGGTTATATTTTTCAGTAAAATACTTTTATTTACGTATTTGACCATTTTAGTACATGCAGAATCACTAAAGAATCAAAAACTCCTAAATTAACTTTATAAACTTCTTTTTGAAAGTGTACCATTGCAGAGTTAAAAGTAATCCCTTATCCTTATGTAACTAAAAAAATGCGCTAATTGGAATTTCTTTAATAATTAGTTTTACTGATCAGTTGATAACATTTATACATGAATTACAATAGTGGTTTGCTTTTCTAGGACTGTTAAAAGCATATTGGTGTTAACAGTTTCATTTGCTTATCTTTTTTTCCTACTCAGCAAATAGCATATGAATAAGGCTTTTATTTCTTTTAACTGCTTTTGTTCTTTTGATAAATGTTTTGGCACCATTATCTAAAAATTCAATGATCAAGTAATTTACATACAATAGCATAATATAAGATAAGATCAACATAAAGTTTATCAATACCTTCCAAACTTTCCTGTATTTTCTGCTTTTCATAAAATTCTCTACATATTCTGCACCAGAGCGATAAAACATTTCCATCAGTGTCAACTTGATACAATGCACAAGAGAAGCTCCAAGAGTTAGCGGACTTCTTAGAAGGCATGATATTTAATTTAATGACTTATTAAAATTTATTAAGATTTGCAAATAGTTATTAGTATTAAAGCAGATCACATGACTAATTAAAATCATAAATCTTAACTAATTATTGACATTTTTTAGGAGCATTGGTTTTAAGTGAAGATTAAAAGATCTGTTTATGGTGCACAAAAATAAATTTCTGTAATGAATTTTTAAAATAAAAGAACTTCAAATTTTTTAGCGATAAAGTAAATTTAGTTAATTTCCCAGCATACAACTCATCAATTATCTTCGCATCGTAGTAATAATGATATTTGGTCATCAGTCTTGCATTAGTGCTTGTCTTTAAATTGGGTTGATGCTATTCTATTTAAAACTACACTAAAATTAAGAATTTATGCTATTTCTGTGGAAATACAGTGAAATTTATTTTTCATAATTCATTTTCATACATATTTACTAAATAATCCTCTATGGAGATTGATTTAGAAATAGTTTTTTTAAATTAAAATAATGCCTGTCGAAACAATAATATATTTGTAAAACCAAACAACTTAAAAATCAAAATTATTGCATATCACAATTTTTGATTCATCTTGATTCATCTCTTCAATTAAATTTAAAAAAACAATAATAAATAATAAATACTGTTATAACTAGGGGTGTATCAGATCGGAAATTTTGCATTCTGGCCAAAATCGGATGTGACAGAATTAATAAAATTCCGGCCAAAATGATAATTTTAATTATGCTATTTTTTTATTTTTAAGATTAAAAGTCAAAGCCTGTTCCTCAGCATTGTGGTTATATAATATATATTTATAACCTATACCAGGCCTCGGCGGGAAGCAAAGGTTTTTGCTCTCATCCTCACCCTTACTCCCCTAAAACACCTTATGAGTGCTATTTATGGCTCTCGCAAGAGTTAAATTTTTTTCTCAAAAATCATTGTAACTTAAATAAAATAAGTCATTGTAATAATTATTTTTAATAATTCTTAAAATACCTGCATTCTATTACAATAAGAAAATATAAAACTTTTTTTATAAGCTTGTCCAAAGAAGTCCAAAACAACGCTTGTCCAAAGAAATTTTTCATGCTGCAATAAATGTCACTAGTTATGAATATATTCTTGTAATTTTGACATAACTAACATATGCGACGCAACTATGATAACTATGACTTGGCATGACAAATCTATGAACATGCTTTTGTTAAAAAAAAGAAAAGAAAACTAAATGCCAAGTTTCTATATTTTTGCATATGCAAATGTTAGCATTTGCTTAAAATTTTTTAAAACACACGCTTTTTTTTCCTAATAACTATGCGATTGATAGTTTTTATTTATTATAGATAACACTTATTTATAATAAAAAACAATTATTTACTAAAATTTAAAACACATTTTAAAGAATTTATTTTCTAAAGATTATTTTCTTCAATAGTGTTACTATTAAGTGAAATAACTAAATATGCTTTCAAAGTAAGTAATTTCAAAGAAATGTTTTAGCAAGGCTTTCACATGCATTAACAAAAGCATGCCAAATTTTAGTTAAAATAAATGAATTTACAATTACTTTAAAAGAAACCATGCCTAAACATTATTGCTTTTTAGGCGTGCTTTTTTTTTATCTTGCTTATTTTTCTTGAAGTGAAGTAATGTTTATTTGTTAAAACACTTTAAAGTGTTTGAAACGAATTTTTAAGCTTAGAATTAATATATTTATTATAGTTTTTATTTTTTATTGTGCGTTTAATAATGCCAATAATATGATATTTTTATTAACTTATTAATAAATACTCAGGCCTTGCGATAAAGCGTCGGGCGATGTGAATTTTACGTCGTCCAAGAGCGATTTTGCGTGTAGCTAGGGCTATTTGCGTCGAGCAAAAAATTTTTTGTTTGAGTATATTTAAAGATATTTTTGAGCGGAATTTTAATGAAGTAATTTACGAATATTTTAACATTTAATAAAGTATTTTAAAAACCGCACGCAGTTGAAATAAAAGTTTGAATTTGAAAAAATTAAATATGCTCATTATTTACAAGTAGAAAAAAATCCAAAATTAAAAAAAAAGTACAAATCTTTTAAGCTAACATTTAATTAAAATTATCTAACATTTAATTAAAATTGAACAAAAATACTTTCTTTTAGTTTTAGATTTTAAACTTAAATAATTATTTTACGGGGGTTTGTTAGGATTTAAAATTATTCCATAGATTTAAAAATATTTATTAACTGTTAGACGTATTTAAAGTCTTTAAGAGTAATTTCGAGGAAACATTTTAAAAATTGGTGAGGGCAAATAAAAAAATAAAAAAGGATTAATATTAAAACGTATTCTACTTGACTCACTAAAAAAGTACAGTTATTAAAATTTTTGTAAAAAGTAACTCAAAAAAATTACTTAAATAATAACGATCGCTTTTATGTTAAAAGTTACCGAAACTCAACGAAGCGTGCTCAAGAACAGCTGCTGAAAAATAGAACGTCAATAATTTTTCGAATAATTTTTAAGAATAATTTTTTCGCTGAAATATTTCTTTTATACCTAAAAAATTTTTATTCTAACATTATATTTTTTTTACTAGAAATAAAAATCCTTGTTAACATTAAAAATCTATTCAAAACGTTCGTTTAAGTTTTTTATTAATACGAGTGATTGTGCTTATCAACCGCTTTATGAAAATAAATAAAAATAAATAAATATTATATAAAATCGCTTGTAAAAATATTAGCTATTGCACAGTTTTAAATCGTACAATATTAAAATTTCCAGTTTATTACTCGCTGACTTTTTAAAAAGAAAAAATAATTATTTGAAAAACTTTAAATTACATATTTAAGAAAAAAAAAATCAAATATTAGCATATTTTATAATCTTTTTTAAATTTAAGTTATAAT